GGTAGACATCAGAAATACCTGTACAGCTCCAATTTTACCTGCACTAACCTTTTCCAGGTAGACATCAGAAATCCAACTCCAGTTTTACCTGCACTTAAGCCAACAAAGGCATATTGCATGCCATTAAAAACTGACTTTACCACTATCACCAGTAATGCTACTGTTGTGCTCCCAACCCGACATGAATATTTTCTGCTGACTTAATGCATACTTGGCTATACACTGACTCCGTCCCCACCTGTTGCCAAATAATAACATTCCATACTGCCCTACATGTATACATTTCCACCACTACCTTTATTATTCCCGGTCAGAACTGACATATTAGTACCCTCACTTAGACAAGCCCGATAAAACTTGGGTAGCGACTGTGTGTAAATCACAGCTATACGACAGCAGTTGGCTAATTGCATTGGGTGATGCACAGGTCCCACAACACTCAGGGTTTGCAGGATTCATGTTTCAAAGGGTATGCCATCATTCACAAAATAAATATGATTTAATGAGTATTCAAAAAAGGCAGTTGAGTTGCTTACTGCTTACTTCAAGAGGGGGTAGGAAGCTGTTTAAAGATTCATTTTGTAAGCGGTCCAATTTTTAAAACTCTAGATCTAAAAGTTCATTGTAAGTAGATATTGCCATAAACAGTTGATTGACGACAGAGCAGCCATGTAAAGGTGTTTTTCAGAAGACCCCAGTTGCAACAACTGTTGCCAACTGATTAAAAATTAAATCATCGTAATACTAATACCACAAGCGGGTTCTTGATATGATTTACTGCACCGGCTTCCCTCAGAAGTTGCCGCCTTGAAAGACTTGGAAATTATGGGAAAATTTACGAGGGTCTGGAAGATGAAGGTGCCAAAGCAAAATCAATCTCCAGATGGATTACTCTAACTCTTACCCTGCAGTCAAGGGTTGGGAACCTAATTTAGGAAAGTCGTACCAGAGGTGAGCTAGTCTCAGAACTTCATCAGTTGGTCCTCTTTCTCATCAATGGAGGAAAACAGAGGTCACAGAGTCTATTCAAATGGGACAGGGCAGTCTTGTGGTTGGGGCTGTTAACTCTGGGTTTGGAAGGTTCTGGGTTCGTATCTCAGGCTGGCCCCGCTGTTGTGCCCTTGGGAAAGGTACTGGACGCCTATTTCCTCACTCGATTCAGGTGAAAACAAGGAGAAGTCGTAGACATCATCCCTCCATGAAATAGCTTGTTATTTTGTAATCTTTTGGTGTATTTCAATAGAGATATTATGAGTCAAACTTTGTTTTTATCAGCAGAATGAGGACCAACCTTTGGTCAGAGATGTCCTCTCAGATGGGATGGTCCCATGTTTATTTTATATTTGAGGAGAGCCACACCTCAAGCAAAGAACCCAACACACTTGATGAATATGCTGTATACTAAATTGAATGTAAACAAGTAAAATCTGAGATTTTATACCTCCGGGCTTTTTATTGTATATTTTTTTGTAGGGTTTTAAACAAAGAATTTATCGAGACCGGACACCCCTCTGTGTGAGGGGTCATATACGTGGACCAGACCGAGAATAGCTTAAACACGCCAAACGTCAACGGTCGCGACCACTTTCATGCTCAAAGGGGTGTTTTGGGGCCACCAAAAGGCACCATTTTCACGCCCGAAAACAAAAGAACGTGCATCATCTGCAGCCCAATAGCAAAACATATACCGAGTCTCAAAAGAATCCGTCCACCCAAACGCAAGAAACAGCTGCGAACATGAGAATCTAAATCTCTCACAAAACCCTTCCGCGGAAGGATGTCTCCTCCCCCGGAGGTAAAAAGTACCTTTAATGTTATACGCATAACCCCATACAAATGTCTAAGCATGAACCCACTGTCCAAAATTAGGCGCACAGCTCCAATTTGCGTGCACAAAACACCAGTATATTTCAAGCCAAGGCCTTGCTATGTACAGAAAGTATAAACTTCCAGTGAATTCATTTGCAGTGGTTTTATTTGGCAGTAGGGGGGGAAAGTTGCTCTGAGGACAGTCCATTTCATATCCATCTATCCGTCATGCCGCTTGTCTTGCCCAGAAGGTGATAATTACGGATACCGGGGAATAATCCGCCGAGTTGGCAGTTTCCTCGGCAGGTAAGGATTATGGACTTCCAAATTGCGGGAGGCAGAGACAAGGGTGGAAGTACAAGTAACTGTAATTTGAATCTGAGCAGCACATCGCTTCCTCTCATGGATGCTGGGCATGTAGCAGGGCTCAGAGTACCACCTGCATGTAGGTTAGGCCACACCGATTTAGTTTCTTGGTTAACGGATTTTTCTAGAAAAATAATGGAGCAGGCGGGCGGAAAAAAATAAATAAATAAAAACAGGCCTAGGCATCCTATTATGGCCCAAAATGGTACGATACATGTAGGAGCCCTGAAGTCAATACATCAGGCTGGTTCAAAATTTAAACAATGAATTTTTAAATTTTAATGATACCATTGCATTGAAAGATGGAATAACTGTAACAACTCAGATGAAAAGGACTGTTTTCAACTGTTCAGGGCAAAATATGAGCATTTTGCAGTTGATTGTGAATTTTTATTTTTATTTGCAAATCAGAAAAAATTAAGCGGGTGAATCCGTTAACCAAGAAATTAAATTGGTATGGCCTTAGTGCAGGTAAAATTGGAGCTGTGAAGGTATTTCTGAGCTGAGCTTGTCCATGATAAAACCATACATGCACGTACATTTAGTAGTCACGTGGGTGTCTTAAAATTGCCTTGAATTCTTCACAAAAGCAACCTGCATAAAATTATTATTACATTCAAGATAGTACCAGACACATTTGAGAGACATTTTCCTTGTTACTTCTGGGTATGGAAGTAGTTTTGGGTCTCTGCTTGGTCTAGTGAGTGAATTCAAATGGGAGGTGATGACTTTGACAGTTTATTATTAATTTCAATTATATATATATATAATTATTCAATAAACCGACTATGTTGCTAACTTGCTACATAAAATTTGATCAAGTATGAACCATGGCAGTAAAGCAATAAAGCATGTTATAATAAAGAGGAAATAAATTATCCAAGGTCTGCAACAATGTTACATTGAGTAGTAGGACTGGAGACATGCTTTGGTACATGTGTAGGTAGAAGCACACTGACAAGCACACTATTAACAGTTTTTATCACTCACATATTGCAGTGTGGACCATGTGTACCTAGATGCCGCCGAGCCGCGTGCCTGCGAAGCTGGCATGTTATAACATTATCATACATACACAAGTAGAAAAAATTACCTCGTTATTTTAGCTAGCTTGAAGGTTTCAAGTCCGTCTTATTTACAATGTTAGACATACAGTCTCTTTATACTCTAGCAGCATTTCAGAACATAAAATTGAGTGGGATTGGTGTAAATTTATATTTTCCAACAGTCCCAGATCCCTTGTCTGAAAAAAAATGAATTGGTACATACATTGTATGTGTTGTACATAAACATGTCATGTTATAAATAATAAGTTTCTGCAACACCATTTAGCATACCAGACGTGCAGTAGATACAATGTAGATAAGAATATCAACAACAGAAAATAACATCATAGAATATAACAGCCATCAACTGGAGAAACATCCATAAAATGTACACAATATATAGAGAGATGAACACAGCCTTGAGTGCAGGGAGATATCATTCATCAACAGATCAAGCCAGGAGAGCTCAAACAGACCCTACAGAAAGACCATCTGTTTCCTAAACACCAGGTAACAACACAAGTACCGGTAAGCCACCTCTCCGGTAGCTCCGCGGCTAACAAAGTGTCGTCTGCCGCTGACGAACAAGATTGGTAGGCTCACCTTGCCAGTAATCCTTCCTGTAGACACCGTCATTAATCAGCGAGCGGGCACGCACGGGCCTTTCTTTTACCGGGATTTTAGCAGCAGCCGACGGCTTGTAAACTGTATCTGTGGACGGCCTTCGACAAATAAGGCCCACCACCGTCCTCTTTCAAAGCTACCACCTAAGCCCCCTTATACATATACAAATGGGCCAGTCCGCCTAATGTCCCATTGGATGGATCAGGATGGAGGAGAGAAGTGATGGGTAAATACCTGGGCTTGGTTATCTTGTCGTAGCACACCATTATTTACCCACGCCGGGGACCGTAATCACATGCCCATATTTAATGTAGCGCGGACGAAACGACCGGGTGCCGAGGGACTAAGGCGTGCATTTGGGCTGGATGGCAGCCGGGTACCCTGGGGGGCTGTGCACACCATTATCACCCCGGCGTTATGCACCTCACGTTCATTACCAAACCTAGCTCGGCAACCCGCACACATTACCCCCTGTGCTGCTGATATTACATCCCCTGACCCTTTGGCATTTAGCAATGTCATCTGCTCCACCCAGTTTTCAATCCGCCGGCCGTATACGTACTCTGCGTCGAGGTGTGGCCGGGACGCTGAATTATACAGTGTTACAGCGAGGGCAATCTAGGGATCAGGGCGTCCGCCCGGTGTCCACTCCTCGGCGATATTAGGACGTGAACAGGTGGCAAATTTGGCACGTCGTGCCGAGTCGATAGGCCCCACGGTCGTCCGGGACGGCACATCTCCACATCGGACGTGATCACTGTCTCCGGCTGATCACCATTTATTCGCAGGCCGAACAACCGGACTTATGTAGATACATGGTTATCATCTAATTCACAAACAGTGAGTAATTGCGTGTTGGCAGATACGGGTGTACTACGGGCACACCACGGAACCGACGACGTGCCAAACAAAGGGGGGACGTGTGAGCCCACCAACACATTACACGCCACGCCGTCCACATCAGCACGACAAGACATATAGCCGCCGTAAGGGCGGCTGTTTTTCGGACACATGCAATTGCCTGTGAAGGGATCCATAACCAGTACTCTATGTTACATCCCTCTGTATGACCAGCCACCCGTTTAACGACTTCCAATCAAATAATACACTGCAAATTCACGGCGGGCGATAAAAAAAGAAACAAGCGACACTTACCGATCCTTTTCAGTGTCCTCCTCACCCGACGTTGCGGAGTCACTCGTTTGACGTTGGGGTGGTCCTCGAGCGCGTCTCGGCCGTCCTGGGCTCGCTCTTGCAGCTGCACACAAGATAAATGTCAGAATGCAATCACTTTAATGCCGGGCCTGATTTATACAAATCTCAGACTAGCTCACCACTTGATCATGTCTTGGGTACTTGGACTGCGGGGGGGATCAGACCGGGGAGATAATGTTTTATTGACAAGTGCCTGTTGGTGGAACTGAAAGCTACACAAAACCATCCCGCCAGATGGGGTCAGTACCGGGGTCATCGTGTCTGAACCACTCCAGCAACACACACACACACACACACCCTCTCTAAAATGGACTGTAATAAATCTAATCAAATTAAGGCAGCGGTATTGATCCGTAGCAATCACGCTGGCAGGCACCTTGGCAGGAGTATCGATTGGCTGCACTGTGACCGTGGTGTCTCCGATTCATTCTGTGGAAACGCGGTAAGTCCGGCTTTAACATACGGTCTGTCCCCATTCCTGTAATGGCTCGCACTATTTATGGCCGACGCCGCTGCCGCAAGAGCTATACGGCTTTTGTGAAGACACATCACACCTTTGCCATGCATCCAGGCAAAGAGCAAGCTACTCAAAACTTTACCAATTAACAGCTCCTGGCCAAACCCTCCCACCGGTCAAGGGCAACTGCTTCCACTGGGAATCGGCACATGGAATATCATCCATGGGAATATTAAATCCTATTTGCATAAGTGACCCTTGACAACCTTTATGTCCGAGAAATGGACCGGTATCGATCCCTTCGCCGGCTTTCTCATCCAATCTTACTGGCAACACTTGAGTCCGAATTGGCCCCCGATGAATACCTCAGTGTGCTTTGCCAAACGGCGGGGGAAGCCCATTCGACCGTACCGCCTTGATTACCGGCGGGTGCTAGAGTTGTGCATGCAGGGCGCATCTCGGCGATAGAGCCAGCAAATGTAGGAGAGATAAAGGAGGCCATGTGACTAGGTTGGACAGATGGACAAAGGGATTAACTATCCATGGGATGGCACTGGCAATCTTGTCTGATTGAATTACCTCCTGTCATGACGATTAATCAGGGGTACAAGTAGGTGCCAGCTCCAGTTCTAATGAAGGACTAACAGCTCCACGTAAGTCCCCACCCAATGTGGCACAGTCAAGTGTACTCAAGGCTTGAAATACATGTACCACCTGCTGCAGGTAAAACTGGGGCTGTGCAGGTATTTCTGATGTCTACGATGTACATGTACCTGCAATTAATCTGCACTGTATTCTCCATGTACTGGGTATATGCAGGTTAGTGCAGGTAAAATTGGAGCTGTGCAGGTATTTCTGATGTCTACCTGCACCTAACCTGCACTGGTCCATGTACTGGGAATATGCAGGTTAGTGCAGGTAAAACTGGGGCTGTGCAGGTATTTCTGATGTCTACCTGCACCTAACCTGCACTGGTTCATGTACTGGGTATATTCAGGTTAGTGCAGGTAAAATTGGAGCTGTGCAGGTATTTCTGATGTCTACCTGCACCTAACCTGCACTGGTTCATGTACTGGGTTTATAATGTACATGTATATACAAAACAAGCTGCATGTGGATTTTTAATCAGCATTGACAATGACTTCTGAATAGTTTCTAGTATGATCATGATCCATAATTCCTAGTATTCTGAAGTGGTGTAGGTAAAATTTGTCTGGTGCAGGTAATTCCCACTGTAGGACTTAAGTATTTCGAGCCCTGTTAGTGGGATAGCGGCAAGGCAAACAAGAGAAAGATGGAATTCTGTGCGGTCCATCCCATCCAGCCACCCTGTCAACACGCCTGCCACGCTTGTTAAATCAGCAGCCAGAGATGACACTGTGTAACACCGCCATGCATCTCTCTTAGACTGCCCGTCTCCACAACTCTCTCTCCACACATTTTACGCGTGTCTCCGCTGCCTTTCCTGGTGCTTTACGGCTCGGCAGGTGCGATGGGCTCATCTCTGAAGTCCGGCCAGATGCACGGGGGCTTATCTCTAATGACAAGATTCTCACTTTCTATATCTTGGCAAAGCTTGATCGTTTGTCACCCCCAGGAATATAGACGTAACATTTTACCGTGAAAAGTTGAATCCTGTAGGCCAAATGTCTTGTGTATGTTGATGGTATTCTCCTCTGACTTTTATCAACAGCTACCGTGAACATTCGATGATGACCAGAAACATTTTCAAAGTTACTTCTGGGTACAGAATTGTTTTGGGTTGCTGAATTGTGAATGTGTGTCTTTTTTCCCACCAGCTTTGGCCAAATGTCTTGTGTATGTTGATGTTATTCTCCTCTGACTTTTATCAACAGCTACCGTGAACATTCGATGATGGCCAGAAACATTTTCAAAGTTACTTCTTCGTACAGAATTGTTTTGGGTTGCTGAATTGTGAATTTGTGTCTTTTGTCCCAGCAGCTTTGGTTAGTGGGTGGGAGATGATTTTGACAGTTGATTGATAGGAAGGTCATGTCTAAAGGTAACCTAGCACATATAGGGTGGGAGTAAGTTAGCCATACATGTATGGAGAAATTCAGGAATTAGCATTGAATTACATCATACAATCCTATCCACAGTCACGAAAAAATTCCAATTCCAAATGAAACACCAGATCACTACTTATTGCACTGCAAATTTTATAATACTGAAAGGACCAAAATGTTGTTATCCATATCTTGCCTTCATCTAGAAAACATACTCCCTTCCGACCCACTCAACGCAAACGACACCACATTATGTACTTTACTTCTTACAGGTAGCCCCTCCCTCCCGTACCCTACTAACTGCCGTATCTTTGATATTGTGTTCAACTATATCCACCACTCTGGAAGATTTGACCAATCTCATTAATGTTATGCTATAGCCTAGGTATTGGTGCGCCAGCCACTTTCATTTTATGTTTATGTTATACTTTATGTCATCTTTATGTTTACATTTCTATTATGTTTTATGAGCAGCGGATTCACATAAGCACAACAAGTGCTTCCTATCCAATGCTCAAAAATCCATGTGAAGGAAATAAAAAATAAATTCCAAATCACTTTCCAAAGGTCACTCCAAGGTCATTAAAAAAATGTACTTCTCTAAAGTCGCTGACAACTTTTTTTTTCAGTAGTTCTTCTTTTAGTTCACCTGGTGGCTTTACACTTCCTTAAAAGTTGCCAAGTAGCTAATGCTAGCCCAGAGGGCTGGCTTACCGGGGAACTCCGTCGTGTCTATTTTGCTTAATGACGACCCATATGTTCCAGGCTGGGAATGGTAGAGTAATGGCATGTGTTAAAACAACGGGCATTCAAGCATGCCAAACAGTACTAGTGATGTCTAGTAGTAGTAGTGCATGCATCATCAACATGCAAATTCAAACTACAATTTGCAACTGAAAACAATATCAATATACTACCACTACCAGTACCTTTTTTTCCAATTTTTTGTAACCTGTAACATGTGCCAGTGCAGATTAGGTTCGTGTAGAAATACCTGCACAATTTTACCTGCACTAACCTGGATATACCCAGTACATGGACCAGTGCAGGTTAGGTGCAGGTAGACATCAGAAATACCTGCACGGATCCAATTTTACCTGCACCAACCTACATATACCCAGTACATGGACCTGTGCAGGTTAGGTGCAGGTAGACATCAGAAATACCTGCACAGCTCCAATTTTACCTGCACTAACCTGCATATACCCAGTACATGGACCTGTGCAGGTTAGGTGCAGGTAGACATCAGAAATACCTGCACAGCTCCAATTTTACCTACACTAATCTGCATACTTTCCAGCCCTGCTTAGCCATATCAACCTGATGGATGCATATTAACATTTCCAGCAACGCGCTGCTGTCACAGCCTTATTAAAACTCATCAATCATAACGGGATTAAAACAGGGTAAATATTATGCTGCGAAACAGACATTAACACAAATGTCATTAATTTGTACTATTTTCACAAAGGTCACAACATTCAGATATACATGTATACACATACTGACATACATGTACATGTACCTCTTTATGTCTGTCAAAATCATGTATATACAGATAGCCATGCATGTACAATACAATATATATTTTAGAGAACTGAATGTCTGAACTTGTAATTTGGCATGCTAAAAGAACGTACATGTAGGCTTGAAATTGTGGATCCCATTTTGCAGTAGACAGAAATAAAAAAAGTTAAAGGATGTTCGCAGTGGTTTGTGCGAAGGAAAGAATTAAGTTCACAAAGTCCATGTGTTACCACAGAACTGTTTCAATTGCTGACTTAAAACACTATGAAAATTCTTTTCCCCTGCTATTGACAAACTGTAACTGTTTTAAGTGACAAATATTGGGATATAAAATGCATCTGCAACATTATTATAATGTATAGAGTACATCCATAAATGTGTGCAACTCAGTCATGATAATCCAATCTTCCTAACAAAACAGTTCTTGAGAATCACTATCATCATACAAGGCAAAAAAAGAAAGAATTATAGAAGAGTCTGTCACATCTGTGGTGGTGGAAGTTCTAAAGAAGGTAATATAGAAGACACATAGCCGCAGCAGGTGGTCTGATTATTGCCTCTTGTCTGATATCTCCTGGTGCACACCTGTTCAGGAAACCCCGGGTAAACCCGGCGCGGGACAGCGAATCATCACACACAAAGCAACGGGACAGATAATTTGTCAGCGCGCCGCCTTTGTGCGGAGAAAGAAACCCTCCGCCGCTGCTTTCATTAGCGGGACAATGCGGCGCGCGACACCCCGCAGTGAGTTGCCGCTTCTTTTCCTTACGTGGAAAGCCCTGGAAGGAAGCTGATATCAAAGTCGTCCATTACCGGCTCTCGGGTGATGTATGGTCGCGCTGATATCTGTGATCTAAACGTCCCCCTCACGTCCCCCCAGCCATGTCTCAACAGTAATGCCTACCCGCAGGCTACAGCCCAACATTTCCCTTCCCTTGCAACGTAACGACTTCTTTTCATCTCACCCTCGCCTCCATACTCCATTCCCAACACGCTTTCCTTGCTGAATTGTGGTACGACGTTGCGCTTTTA